GATCACCAGAACTTCTGAACAGAAAAGTGTCACAGAGCAGCATTTTCCTATTCCTTAAGGGAGTTCTATTTTTCCTACTTTAGTAGGTGCCATTATATGAGTGACATGACCAATTGGAAACGTACCAGTCTTTTTTTAAGAAAATATGTAAGGGGCTTTATTTGTAGCCTTTGTAAGCTGGCCTTATCCTTCTGGACTTCTCTTCTTGATTTTATTCCAGAAAATTGTGGCACTGCTTTTAGTTGTGGTTTAATGTTTCCTAATGTCATCCTAATATAGGACAGTTTGTTTTAATTTAGCTAGTAGTAATCATCCCTAATATATTAAACTACTTGAACTCACTGCAGTTGAGAGGGAGAAGAGACTTAAGAGCCCATATAGTTTACCCAGCCTGTGGTTGAGGAATTTGTCCCTGATCAGTTACCGCTGACAGAAATGGAAGCTAGATTTCTTACTCTGTTACTAATTTGTTTAGAAAAGCAATGTTTCCTACCTTAATTCTCAAGATTTTTCATTTTTCTATGCTCCTCAGTGGACCAGGAAAAAAAAATTGTAAGCAGTTTTGCAAAAACAGTACAATGTTGATGGAGAAAGGACTGATACATTTAAGTCAACAGCAATAGCAATAATCCAGCTGTAGGTTATATGCAACAAAGGAAAATCCTCTAAGAGTCTGCTTTCTGTCCCAAAGCCAGTCAGAACTATTTTTTAAGCCAATTCATTATGCCAAAAAAATCTGCATTTTTGCAAATGTACTCCTGACCCTCACGACTTATAAGCCTACTACTCCTTATCCTTACTGTTTCATTGATTTTCTTGACTTCGATATATCTCTGCCTAGTCATTTGATGTATCAAAAGCCTTGCATATTGGCCCCTTTATTAACAAAGCCAAGCTTTGGGGTTGAAAAGTTGCTCCCAGGTGGCTGCTTACCTGCAGTCTGCAATCATATTCTGAACTGTCCTCCAAACTCTTGCATTGTTCTTATTCAAAGTTAGGTAAATTCCTTCACTGGGGATTTTTTAATTATTTGATATAATTAATTGTAAATAGCCCTCACAAATACTAATTCACTCAACTCTTATTATTTTTTTATTGATTTTAATCTAAACTAAAAAATTATGTTAAAATCAACTCCTGTGAAATAGTAAAGGTAGAGATGATAACCAAAGGTTATGTTTAATTGACCTATAGAACATTAACCAGCTTTATATTCAATTTAGCAATATTTTTATAGATTTGAGGGTTTTTGTTTGGATACTATGCTGACACACACATATGTATGCCTTAGTGTCTCATAGCCCTCTTTGAAATAGCTTTGTCATCTTCCTGGTTTTCTCATTAATGAATTAAATATTAGTGTGACACTTGTTCGTCAGCATATTGTAAAGTATAACTTGACCTTAATTATAATATCCTCGTTTGAGAAAAACAAATACATAGCTTATACACCCCCCACTTCCCTGTCCTGCACCCATAAAACACATCAAAATTAATCATAAGCGTGGCTCAGAGTTTTTCTCAGTGTAAGTCCCCAGAGGGCACTAGACACAATAAATGAGCATTGATGCTAAAGTTAACATTAGTCATCCTCACCATATTGGCATGTTTTGTTTTAATTGCTCTCTAAAGTTGCTGATCGGACCAAAGGATATTTATTCCTGCAAGATAACAGACATGACAGCCTGAGTGTCACCAGCACCATAAAAACAGTTGGTTTCGTCCCACAATATTTTATTGCTGTCGGTTCTATGCCTTCAGAAGGAGCATACACTTGTGAGTTTTCCACACTCCACAGTTCCCTGGTGTGCTCATTATTCCATCAGTCACATTACTTTTTCTTTGCTGGCCCCTAAAGACACTTGTCTTTACTGTCTGCCCTCTAAGAAATAACTGGAGTTAGAGACTGAGCTGGATGAAATTGTCATTTGCATAGGTTAAAAATGCCAAAATCAGCGGGGCGCCTGGGTGGCTCAGTCGTTGAGCGTCTGCCTTTGGCTCAGGTCATGATCCCAGGGTCCTGGGATCGAGCCCCGCATCGGGCTCCCTGCTCCACGGGAGGCCTGCTTCTCCCTCTCCCACTCCCCCTGCTTGTGTTCCTACTCTCGCTATCTCTCTCTCTGTCAAATAAATAAATAAATAAATAAATGCCAAAATTAGCAATTTCATATGATTTGACCTGATCAGATCAAAGAATCAAAATGATGCTCTTCTTGGGATCTTCCAGTTTGAAATGAATTTATTTCCTATTTTGAATCACTAATCAGCAAAAAAAAAAGGACTGATTTAACACCTACTTTGCACAAAGCATTGTGGTAGATTCCAGGGATGACAAAGATATAAGTGCGCATCCTGCTTTGGAGGAGTTCACGCCTGGTTTGCAAGGCATGAATGATCTTATCTTCTATGAGATTGTGAGCTCTATGAAGGCAGAGGCTGTGATTTACTGTACTTTATTTTTCTGTGGACTCATCACATGGCAGATGTTCAATGAACCCTTGTTAAACAAGACAGTAGTGAAGTGGAAGGTAATGAGAGAAGCAAGAAGGAAAGGAAAGAAGGAGGGAGGAATGGGCACTAGTTAGAGAAGCTGCCAAGATGGATGTGTCACAGAAAAAAGGAAGACTATGAAAAAATTAGTTTTTTTAAATTTATTTCTAATGAGTTTTATACTCCAAAATAGTTTTTAAAGCCATCTATTGAAATACCTTTGACTCTAAGTGGCATTGATTTTGGTTTGTTTCCAAAATGAAACCAGTCTGAAAGGATATATGCATTTCACCATAAATGAATTTTAAAACAAAGGCTTCAAGCACAATAACGAAAGTGTTCTCATCAATGGTAGAGTGTTCGGAACAATCACTTTGTTAGGTGATGGTGATTTATTTGGAGGTACAAACTATGGCATCTATTAAAAATTCACACAAATAAAAGTGCCTTGTGGGTTCAGTCACTGGGGCATGTGGCACTCAATCTCAGGGGTATGAGTTTGAGCCCCACATTGGGTATAGAGATTACTTAAAAATAAAATCTTTAAAAAAAATTCACACAAACATAGCAGTATGAGGACCTTTATGTCCCATTTCTTATTTCTAATGCATGAAACCTTCTTAACACTTTTTCCTTTTGTCATTATTGAAATTATCAAGGTATATGTTAGAGCTGACTTTTAAGAAGTTCATAGTCAAATTATTATTCCTCTTTCCATTTGTTTAGGAAGATTTTTCTTTTTATAAAACCCAGCTCCACTCATCAAGACCCAATGACCAAATTTATTTTTTTAGTTTACTTATTCCTGGAAATTATTAAAGGCAATTTAGCTATAACATTTCCAGAATTGGGAAAGATATTCATCAGTTATTTTGAGAAATTTATTGCATGTAAAAAGATTTACAGGGGCCCCTGCTCAGCCAGTTGTGTCTGACTCTTGATTTCGGCTTGGGCTATGATCTTGGGGGGTCCCAGGACTGAGCCCCACATCAGGCTCCCTGCTCAGCGGGAAGCCTGCTTCTCCCTCTCCCACTCCCCCTGCTTGTGTTCGCTCTCTTGCTGTCTCTCTCTGTCAAATAAGTAAATAAAATCTTAAAAAAATACAAATATTATAGATTACATGACAATTTTTATCATATATTGTTCCGCTAATACAAAGGTTACTAATCTAATTAAGGTTAATCTAATAAAGTTACTAAATGATTGCACCTTCATAAAAAAATTACACACACACACCCATTTTTTTTTTTTTCCTGGAAGCATACACACCAAGATTGTAACAGCACCTAGGTCTGAAGAAAGAGTTAGGCATGTTTAGAAAAGTTTTAGTTTTCCTTTCTGTTCATCTCATTGCCTAATTTTTTTTCAGTGAACATATAACACTATTATGTTAATACAAAACTCTTTCAACAAGAAGAAAGAAATGCTACCCTCCAGGGTTTACAAGTAACATCTCCACTGCTCACAAATGTGCTGGAGTTTTTGAGGCTCTGAATGTTAAGGATGAAGAAACAAACTGTGGTAATGGATCAAAATAGTGAGGATGGCCTCTCTGGGCATTCCATAAAGATTACTGCGATAAAGTTAAAGGATTATCTCAATATGTAGCATTAGTCACTTCAGAAATGTTACAACAAAAGCAAAAATTCTAAATAGGAGCCAAGTAAACTAAAGTGTGAGTCATATTTCTTCCATTTGAAGTAAAGTCATTCTAAATATGAAATTTAAAGACCTCCTTGTTTATGAGCGTTTGATTTTTTATTTCTAGGACAGACTCATTTGTGGTCATCTGTAGTTCCTGTTTCAGAGAAAAAGATCATTAATTGAAAACACTTCCGCTTCATTTTAAATAATAAAACCACTCGTGAATAACTTTTTTTATTATAAAAGGAACATATAGGGGCACCTGAGTGGCTCTGTCGGTTAAGCGTCTGCCTTTGGCTCAGGTCATGATCCCAGGGTCCTGGGATAGAGCCCCACATCGGGCTCCCTGTTCATCAAGGGGGTCTGCTTCTCCCTCTCCCTCTGCCCCTCACCCTCCTCCTGCTCATGCTCTCTCTTGCTGTCTCTCTCTGATAAAGATAGATTTTCCTAAAATCTTTAAAAAAAAAAAAGTAATATATATACAAAACAGAAAATTTGGAAATTCACTCCTAATTGTATTACCCAGAGATAAGCACTAATAACATTTAATGTCCATCCATAAAGTTGATAACCATTTTTAATTTAAAAACAAGAGATTGGTGTTTAGGTATTTAAATCCTCTGAATGTCAGTGAGGTTCATGTAAATACATTTTTCTCCAGTATCTGTGGCATTGGGAGATAATTGTTGTGAAATAACGTAATCCTTGACTATTATTATTCATGTTAAAATGCAACTGTGGCTATGGTCTTCTACTTTGGATGCACCAGAGTTTTCTGGAAAAAAAAAAAAAATTCAAGCAGCATGATACCAGCAACCCATAGAATGGACTCATTCACATTCTTCTTAACTCTTCATTTCCTCCAGGACAGATATCAGTGGATGGCTTTATGCGCTATCTGAGTGGAGAAGAAAATGGAGTCGTTTCGCCTGAGAAACTGGATTTGAATGAAGATATGTCTCAGCCCCTTTCTCACTATTTCATCAATTCCTCACACAACACCTACCTCACAGGTACGAATTCATAGTTCTCTGACAATGACTTTAGCCAGTCTCACCAAATTTCACCAACCTCTACTTTCTGTTGTTCAGAAGGGAAGGTGTGTTTTCTTTCATTTCCTATGAATGCCTCTGAGAACTGAGCTCTGGGACCAGAGGTTCTGCCTGTAAGAGGCAATATCACTTCTTCACAACATATTTCTTCCCCAGTTTTTAAGTCTTCTGAAATGTATCATATCTGGTATCTTTGGGCCAATGGAATTTTTGTGTAACTGAATTTCTTCAGTGAACTTGGCAATACTACCTAGTTCTCTGGACTGTGTTCATGTACAGGAAAGTACTAAAGCATAAGCATACATAACTTACGTTCAAGGCAAATAGCTTATTTTGTTCAAGGTGGAATAGGGCTTTAGATGTAAACAAATTTAACCCTTAATGACAACCTATACTTCGTTGTAAATACTATAATAATGGAGGAAAAAGCAACAGTGTGCTTCCAAATGTGATCCTAAATTGAGCATTGCCATGGTTTTTAGCAGATTATTAAATAGAAACGCAAGGGGCGCCTGGGTGTCTCAGTCAGTTAAGCACCTGCCTTTGGCTCAGGTCATGATCCCAGGGTTCTCAGATGGAGCCCCCACGATGGACTCCCTGCTCAGCGGGGAGTCTGCTTCTCCCTCTCCCTCTGCTCCTCCCCCTGCTTGTGTTCTGTCGCTTGTGCTATCTTGCTCGCATTCTCTCTCTCTCAAATAAATAAATAAAATCTTAAATAAATAAAAAAATAAATAGAAAAACATGAAAATCCATATATACATACATATCATCTCAACTTAGTTTAAAATTAACATTTTTAATAAATACAGATTTTAATAAAGCTAAAAGTGTTTTTATAATCAAAATACATTTCTTGCAGAATACTTTTTGTATGGCAGATTTCTAATTACCAGCCTTGAAAGGACTTTGTAAAGGATCTATGTTAAAAAAAAAAAAGGCTTTTTAAAAAACCATGTCACTCTCCTACTTCCAACACTCCATTACCCAAATTAATATAAGATAGCCAGACTTGAAGACCCACAATGCAACCAAAGTCTCATTTGGTATGTGTAAGTTGTAGTTGCCCCCCATGCCTTGGGAGAAGCTTAGACGTGCCCATGGCTCCTTGCCTAGGGGCATGTGGTTTGTGTTGCAGGGTAAACCAGCAAAGCTATGAACATAATGACAAGGGAGATCCAGGCACTGTATATTCTGGGGTGTCCAAGAGTATCTCACAGATTTGGTTATATGGCAGATAAGCAGTTCTTTCATCTAAATTCCTTAAGGAGATCCATTCATCCCAGTACAAATGTATGTTTTATTGGTATCAAATCAGGCATTGGCCTGGTATCCCACACTTGGTGAAAAAATAGCTTAGAATAAAAATGACCTTTTGACAGAGAGAACAAAGTAGCCTCCTGACAGCGAGAGTGGGCTGTCTCAGGATGCTTTCATATAATCTGAGAGCATCTAATCAGAACCACATACTCTGAGTTCTGGTCAGTCAAAGTGCAACTTGTACATTCTTCATAAAAACTGGGTGGCTCTCAGGCTACTCACAGCCCATTTTGTTTCAATTGACATTATCTACAGGGAGAGATGCATACCAAAAACTAACTGGATTCATGTTTGGTTCATCCTAAACTCTATTCCTGTCATTTCTTGTTGCATAACAAATCACTTGAAAATTCAGTGGCATAAAACACCCACCATATTATTTTGATCCATTTTCTGTATGTCAAGAATTCAGATAGGGCACAAGAGGAGATGGCTTCTCTCTCTTTCCTGGTGTCTTGGGCTTCAGCTGCCAAATAAGTGCCCGGGGGTAATGCAAACACATTGGGTGCTGGAATCATCTGGATGCTTCTCCAACATGTCTGGAACTTGAGCTCAGTTAGGACTCCTGATCTTTTTGCCTATAAGAGGCCTCACCATGTAGCTTGGGCTTCCTCACAGCATGGCACTCCAGGGTAGGTAGACTTCTTACCTGGCAGGTCATGGCTGCAACAACAAATGTCCCAAAGAACAAGAAGGAAGCTTAATTGCCTTATTTTACTTCACCTCTAAAGTTCTGTTTGGTCACTTCTTTATTTATCAGTCACAAACCTACCTAGATTCAAAGGGAGAAAACACAGACCATTGCTCTCATTGGGAGGAGTGTCAAAATATTTTTAATTTTTTATCTTCTCGGGGCACCTGGGTGGTTCAATCGTTAAGCATCTGCCTTCAGCTCAGGTCATGATCCCGGGGTCCTGGGATCGAGCCCCGCATCGGGCTCCCTGCTCCACGGGAAGCCTGCTTCTCCCTCTCCCACTCACCCTTCTTATGTTCCCTCTCTCGCTGTGTCTCTCTCTGTCAAATAAATAAACAATAATAAAAAAAATGATCTTCTCAGGGAAATCTTAATCTTATTTGGTACCATTGACCAATTTGGCATTCTGGTGAAATCTATGAACCCTTCTAAGAGTAGTGTTAAATGCATAAAATAAAATATATAGGATGAAAGAAGAGATAATTTCCAACAAAATATTTTTATCAAATATTAAAAAACAAATTTGTGATAAAATAATATGTATTTATATGAGCACAATTTAAATACTAGCATAAAGAATATGATATGACTCTTTGCAACAATGGAACATGATATGAAAATATCTGTGATTTCTCCTCATGTCAGAGTCACAGTTCTGCTTGTACTGTTGTGATTTGTGACCTGCATTTATAACTGAAGAGATTATTAAATTTTATATAGAGGTTTAAATTAAAGACATAATCTTTTTTCTCATCCAAGTTTGAGGAAGTCGACAACCTCAATTAAGATCTTTCACTTGATAATGTCCTAAACAATATAACTGTAATGACTGGCAAATGATGGCATCTTGCATTTATCATATACTTAGGACCACAAGATTCTTAAAATACATAAATACATGTTCAGCTAAATTTTGGACATAGTATGTGGTTTCATCTGCTTGGAAGTCATGATATGCAGTAATTTTACCAATAGTCCTTTTTAACTCCAAAAATTCCTTCCAAATGTTGTGTTTATATTCATTAGTATCTATATTATTTTTCATATAATAAATGAGGCAATGATAGCAAAATGATTGAATAAGAAGACTGGTTGGATACACAGTCTATTCGTTTTATTTTCTCTCAGAATATATTCTTTCTGCTTATCTTTATGGATTTATGATTTTTAGATTTTATGTAGGTTCACCAACCACAGCCACTGTTCTCCTTTTGATACTCAAATTGTCTCAGCTTTGGTCTATGGGACCATTTTTTAGGCTGACTTCTATAGTCTCTTGACATGACCCATTGCTCTTTGAAAATGTCCTTTCTTTCTGGCACATAAAGATCTTCAGGCTCACCTTGTTCCTTTCTGCACCACCATGGAATCAGACTTTTCCCCCAAATGACCTCTGGTTTCCTTCAGTGGAAAAAAAAAAATTGTATGTGTAACAGCAATTTGAACGCCGTACTATGGAACATTGTTTCTGGACCGTTTCAGTGAACAAAGTAAGAAAAGATACATTTGTGTCTGAACTGTGCCAGTTCACAGAACTATCTTCATTCCTATCTTCTAATTTATTTAAATTCCTGATTCTATAACTGTGCTTTCTTTATCAATCTTGATACCTATGAAATTATACATAATTAATTCATTTGCTTTACTAATAACACAATAATAGCTCCAAGAAAATTATTTGGTATCAGGAGGAACAGTAAAACTACAGAATACTGTTCAGTTTTTCTCTGCAATTCCTTTTTGTTGTTTTTAACTGCATTTCATTAAGGACTCAGTCCAGCGAATTTCTTCCAGAGTCACTCATTCACCTTTCCTCTGAATAACTTGGTAAGCACAGATGTGTTTGAAGATTTGGCTTCATTGTGTTGGCTTGGTTTTGGGGTGTTAGCATATTAATAGCTAATAGTTATCAGTAGTTGGAGTTTTCAGCTATTAGGAAAGAAGGGTCTACTTTCTTTTTTGATGAAGAAAGAGCTCAAATAGCTGTCTCCAATTTCAGTACAAAGGTTTCATACCACCACCACCTGATACACATGATTTCTGACAAAGTAAACCAATTCTCGCTCCAATTATTCAATTTCTCGTAGTATTAGAATCACATATTTTCATATATTTAGGTTTCAAACTCTGTTTTCTATGTAAACCATGTTCTGATCTTTATGGGCTTTTTTTTTTTTTTTAACTTGCTCACTTTTCTGAGCCATATATTATTTTACTGAGGTTTGCCTTATATAAATCCACATTTTCACAATATCACCTTATCCCAATGCCAGTCAAAATTTTTCATTTTCCTACAGGGGATTAAAAAGAAGATTCCATAAACAAACTGAGGGTTGCTGGAGTGGTGGGGGGTGGGAGAGATGGGGTGGCTGGGTGATAGACATTGGGGAGGGTATGTGCTGTGGTGAGCGCTGTGAATTGTGTAAGACTGTTGAATCACAGACCTGTAGCTCTGAAAAAAATAATACATTATATGTTTTTAAAAAAGAAGAAGAAGATAGCAGGAAGGGGAAAATGAAGGGGGGGAAATCGGAGGGGGAG